TTATCAACCGACTCATTTTTAGTAATTTTCTTCGTAGCAAGACTACAAAACATTTGCTGCTCCAAAGTAAAGAGAGTTGCTGCTTTTCTCTGTCTCCGGTCATTGTGATTTCAGTATCTTTTTGTGTTTTGACTACTGGCGAGACAAAATAAGCAATCTGAAGACAAGAAGTTTAATCAAATGACGAAAACCCCACAGAAAGAACCACTGAAACCTCATCTTGAAACCACAAGTGAAACAAACACACTGAAAGAACCCAGACAGCATCACTGGGAGTTTTCTTCTGAAAAACAACCTAGCAGTTTTTAGAGTGACCCCCCCCCCCAACTTTATGTGAATCAGGACAACAAGTTTGCATAAAATGAACAGAGTGTTCTGAATCTCACACCATAGTCTAAATATAAACGATGTGTTGCCAAAGCATCTGCAGCCATTTCCGTCTAATATTAGCTCTGATGCATTCAGTGCCTGAAGCAGAGTCCCCAGTCTTCTCCCATTTCTCTCTATCGCTTTTTCTTTCTGGCTCTGATGTGGTTTATCTGCGGCTGAAGAACACTGGACCAGTTGATTATTATTCCACTGCAGAGCTGCAGGCAGTACAGATAAGGCTATGCAGGTCTCCTATCTGAAACTGGCAGCATCGCTCCCCATCCCCTCTTATTCTAGCCATTAACTCCTGCTCTGGCCTGAAATAGGAAATTAGGAGTATGCCGAGCTGCAATCAGAACTGTTGATTGGCTGCTGCAGTGTAGTTTGCCCTCAGACTCGGTGCTTCTCACTGCAGGATGTACAGTAAGTGTTGTGGTTTGCAGTTGACTTCTGGTATGATTGAGGCATACTGGTCAGTATTCTAGTCAATCAAATACATTCATGACCACCTTTGCACCCAACAACCAGGTTTTATGAGTAATGGAATAAAACAAATAGTCGAATAGTGAGAAATCCCTCTCGAGCCCAAAGTGATGTCTTTGAACTGCTTGAGTTGTCTGACCAACATTTAAAAATTTTAATATTAATAACAAAGAGAGAAGCTGGAACCAGAGAAATCCTCTCTTTAAAAAATGACTTAAACAATTGATCGATTATCAAAATGGTTGCTGCTTGGTATCAGTCTGCTGCTTGGTATTAGTCAGTATCACTTTCATATGGCAAATGGCAATATCTATAGCCATGAGAATCAGCAAACGCAGAATTAGAGAAGAATTAGAGCTGTCGGAAATGCAAAATGCTTTGTCATTGCAAGGTGAACTGATTTGAATCACGTCTGTGAAGCATAATCTTAAGCTTTCACTCAACAGTAGCAGCCCGTACAACATAACTTTAAGCTCAGTGATTGGATGTTTTTATCAAAAACATTTTCTAATTCAGTTGCTCATCTCTTAAAATGATTCTTCAACCAGGACAGCTTACGTTGAACTGCCCGCCACCTAACATTACCTACGCACAAAAACCCACCAAGACTTTTACTTTCAAAACTCTGGACACCCAAACTAACTCCTGCCACTTCACAACTGTTTAGTACATGCTAACACTTGTACACCTGGCAACCTCTACTGAAGCACACTGTACTCTGAAAGAGAGCAGCTCCCTCGATGTAAGAGGTCAACCTCTTAATGTCCCACTGTGGTTTGGTGGTTTTAAAGCTCAGTATTGATTAGGTGGTCAGTCTGTTCACACCAGATGCCCAACACCAGCTGCTCAGGGATATACTGCTGCTATAATGGAGTCAAGAGACACCCTCTGCATTTTTAATGAGCCAACCTGGCAGTGCAGCCTTTAGTTACATAATGAGTGCCGTTATTTGACATAGCCTTTATTGCTGCTGTCATTGGAGGACCTTACCGCAGTTGGTAGTGGTTATTATCCTCAGGCTCTACTTGAATCTTGTACTGTTTCACAACCTTGTGTCCTATAAAACCAGTTTAAAACCAGTCTGACAATGAAATTGAGGATGTAAGATTTATTTAACGACAGAAAAACATACAAAACAGGACAAGACTCCTTATATTGGGTGCGATGTATCTATAGCTCAGATCCTTCTTACACCTTCTTTCTGTGTCATCTTCAGCTTCTCCTTTAATGAAATTGGCTTATCAGGCGAAAGGGAGCAGATTGCCAAATGTTACGTATGAGTAGCCAAAAGTGAATACAGATAACGGATCTTCTTGAGTCCTGCACAGGTTTGATAGGGAATAGAAAGCCTGGCACATATGCCATCAGGGGTAAGTAAGTAAAAATGTTTTCCTGTGTGGTTTACTGCACACTGCTGGGGGAAAAAAGCACCTCTTAAAACATTTGTTAAAGGTTGGTGGCGCTTCCCACCATTTAGGTGAAGTTTAATTTCAACAGCTTTTCGGGGGGGAACTGTGGTTTTTGTGGTTGACACAAGTGGGATAATCACCCCCCCACTTGTTAATTTTTTTAACGGCCGATAGAAGTACCAGGACTTCCCCTTTGACGGATCCATGCACTAAATCACATGTTCACTCGAGCATTATACAGGAAGACCACAGAACCGAGTCATCAGCGAGCACTGCATGCAGTAACTCAAACTCAGAACATTAAGCAGGGACAATGGCAATGACCCGTTTGAGGAGAAGTTTTTTACGAGCAATATCAGTACATGAGGAGGATGACGTGTTCACTAGTTGCTCTCCACCAGAGGTAATATTTTATGCATTTTCAGTTCTTGAGCATAACTTTTAAGTTGCACCTTATACTGTGGTGGTTTTGCACAAAAGCATTACAGAACATTTCTGGTAAAAGCCATCTCTTATTTTGGAAGTCTAGTGCTTAATGGCTCTATACTTGCAAAGCGAGTTTCCCTGTTTTGTGTCTGGGTTTTCTGACCAGTGGCTTTCTGGCAAATGCTGCCTTCTCAAGTCTTAAGGAACAGGTAGAAGAAACTACGGTAAGTTATGTAATATATTATGTATAATGTATGCACCCTCCACCTTCATTTGGTCATGCTTCGATGCTGTATTGAACAGCTCAGTTCTCAGGCTTCTTCTAGTCCACTGAATATTCGATCTTCGTGTGTACCTCCAGCTGTTTGCTCGGCTACTGCATATTTCATCCCCTATTGATCCCCGTGCAATAAAAACATCACAGAGCCAGTGTTAGGAGGCCTTGGGGCACTGGCATTATTTATGACTCTCTCTGCCCTGTCGCTCTGCAGCAAGGCAGCTTCTTTGTAATGCCAGCATGAAATAATCATGACAAGCAGCCCATTGACTGGATCAGTCGTGCGCCAGGGGTTTTGAAGAAGGATGCTCTGTCATTAGAGGCAACATGCTGGCTGTACTACAGCTGTGGAAATGTTGTAGTTCGACCAGATACAGGAACTAACTGTCAGTTGTGTTGTAATTCATATCCACGTTCACCAGCTCATTCACTCTTTGTTAAACCATTTTGAATCATGTTTGGTCACCTGACAAAGTGACGGTTGCAGTAGACGCTCCCATCTTACCATTAACAGCATGAAGCATAGCGGTTGGTCAGGTTTCCCGTCCTGTTGAGCAGGAACCTTTCTGCACTGTGTTGGTAACATGTCAGAGGTTTTGCTCTGCAGAGTGACCTGTTTTTGCCATGTGTTAAAATTAAAACAAATAAAATAGTAAAAGGACCTGAAACGTAATTCACATTTTTCCTCATGATCTTCACAGTTCAGACAGTATCGGTGCTCGCTGTCTGCAGAGACTTCTTGTTCTGATTCAAAATCTAATCTGAAAGGTCCAGGTTTCAAGGAGGAACAGGAACAGATGTATAGACTGTCATCATTTAAGAAAGTGATGGTAAGATGGTAGTTTGCTGTCAGTCTATACTGAAGGTATTCATTTAAAATGGTTATACCTATATTAGGGGTGGAATGATTGGTCACTGAGTTGAATTACAACAACTTTACTGTAGTTGATGCCAAACATTTCATGTTTCCAGCTGTTCAGATCAGTGTTAGGATTTGTTGCTTTTTCTTGTCTAATAGTAAATTTAATGAATATCTCTGGATTTTGTTTAAGGGTTAGGACAAAAGACAGCAATTTGGGCTTTAGGAAATAATGTCCGTTTTTTCTATTTTCCAACTTTTTATATGTCCAACGATTAATCACTTAATTAAGAAAGTCATTAGTAAATCATTACTACTGAGGGAACTGTAGGGGTATTAAGCTTTTTTTTGCATCAGAACTTCCCTTAATGATATAGTTATAGTTAGGAGGCGCCCGGAAAGCTCACCTGGTAGAGTTGGTGCCCCGTGTACCAAGGCTGAGTCCTCGTTACAGTGGCTCAGGGTTCAAATCCGACCTGTGGTTCTTTGCGGTGTGTCAGTTAAAGGCAATAAAATCCCCCAAACAAATATTTGAGAAAAGTAATTTTGCAATTCCACATTTAAAAGATATTTTATATCTTTTAGTATTTTCTGTTGGGGAGATTTTCCACAGTTCTGTCTTTCACAGCTGTAAGGATTAGCCCAGACAAACTGTCCTCCCAATGTTCAGGATGCATCTTGATAGTCAGTTTTACTTCCTTATTTCTACCTGACATGGGATCCTGCCACTCTCAGTTATATAACAACAACACTTCCTTCCCCTGTCCTCCTCCTCTGAGTTCATTCAATGCTCCGCTTCTCTGTTGCCAACAACAGCTATGTCAGCTTGAACTACAGTTATTTGACATTTCAGCAGTTTCCTTTTTGCTCTAATGCCTCTCAATGTTCAGCAGAAACTCTGCAGATTAAATCACTTATGTTCCACGTGGATTTCAGTAGGAACGTGGCATTAACAGTGTGGGGGAGAGGTGTTTGATGTATGTATGTATGCTCCGGGGGTGTTTTTAAGGTGTTTTGCAGGTGTAGCTGTTGATTTTCACTCTGAAAGCTGTGAATTTTTTAAAGCATGGCATCATCACTCACTGTCGAGGAACTTTTCCCTGTTTATGTAACGGACTTAAATCCACTCACATATGACTCACAGTTCGACCTCGCTCTCTTTCTTTCTCCCCGTCAGACGGTATCTTCATCAGGCCAGGGCCGCTCCGAGTCCCCCGTCTACACCAACCTCCAGGAACTGAAGATCACCCAGACCAACCTGCCGCCTTACCCCTCCGGCTCCCCCGTCCACGTGCTAGGCGACTGGGAGACCTACAAAGACCAGAACGGCAGGCACTTCTACTACAACCGCTCCACCCAGGAGAGGACCTGGAAGCCGCCCCGAGCCAGGGACACCAGCACCAGAGGAGAAAACCACAGTGCAGGAGAAAGCTCTGAGGTACAGATCATACACAGAGGGTTGGATGAAACACTCATGAGCCCCCATACGTTATTTTACATCTTTTAGAGTCCTTAATTAAGAAATATCAGTTGTAGTAAAGTCAGCCCTTGACAAATAAATCAATAGTGGTCACTTGTCACAATGGCTCGTAACTCCTAGCAACAATTAAAAGCAAAGAAATATATCTTTCTTCAATAAACGGTGGATTGGCTGCCTGGATTGTCAGCAAGCCTCTCATTACTCAAAACTGAACATGAATTACATGGGGCGAAACAATGAGAACAAGTAAAGCACTAGTTTGAGAGAATACACTCCCTCAGAGCAAGTTTAGATGATGTGTCACCCACTGGGTCAAAAAGCAAACTTTTTTAAGGCAGATACCGTTAAGGCTGCGCCGAGTAGCTGCCATCCAAGTGAGAGTGAGGGGGATTATAATGTTACATGTAGTCATTGGTTCAAGAGATGAAAAAGAATAGCAACATTTTTTTTAGGTACATTTTTATGTCCATTTTTTATGTCTGTTGACAACCAGGTGGGCCAATGTGAATTTAAAAAAGGTGGAGGTGCATAGGGAGAGTCCTATGAACAAAGTTGTTCAGTTCACCTCCTCTCCATGACTGCACACACAGATGCAATTAGTGCAGCTCAGACGTAAACACTTAACAGAGGAGGAATTTGAGTAATGTGGAGAAAAGAGTTCTTGGGCCCTTGTCATTGCACACATGTGAACACCTGGTCACACCTGGTTCTGTCAGTGCAGAGACCAGGTCTGACTGTCATTTAAGTTGGCTGACACTGATCTCTCCTTCTGTCTGAACGTCTGAAACAACAAACATTGCTTTCTGAGCAGCTCTTCTGATGCTGAATATATACTGACTAACCTTTACTCTGCAGTCAGACCTTTATCTTAGATTGAATTAATTCAGAATCCTAAGTTCAACTAAACACTAAACTTAAACAGTGAACTGACTTGCACTGTTGTCACAAGAACAGAGTTACAAGGACTCACACACACACACACACACTTGCTTATGTATACTGAGTGAGTGTCAAAGCATCCTGAGTCAGAGACAGATATTAAATAGATAACAAATAGGGCATGCCAGTACCTCATCACATATTGTGACTGCCTTGTGATTAACAGGCAAAGTGGGGCATCTGCAAAATTGTTCTTTCAGTGTTGACAGATTGTTCGGGGAGATTTGAAACTGTCAGACAAAAAATATCTCAGAGAAAATGAAAGTTTCATTTTCTTTCTGACAAAGCTTGATTGTGCATGCTCACCAGAGTAACACAGGCAGCCTTTTGCATTGTGGAAGTTAGTACAGTTGTGATTAATGTGAACTGTATTTGTTATCGACACTCACACAAACACGCACACACACGTTGTGACACACCAGTTTAGCCTGAATCATTAGGGAGTCATTTCTGATTTTGAGCCGCCCTCTGTTTCATTAAATGGCTGTACCACACTGCCACCTACAGGCAAAAAGCAGTCACTGTCACTTCATTGATTGTGTGTCACACTGCAGCAGCCCCCTTCAGCCACACTGTCCAAAATCATGCATGAACATCAATGATTTTTAGCTCTCTGATGGGTCCTCTGGTTCTACTGTATTAAAGTGGTGTTGGGTATTTTCTGATGATTAATTGGTTCTGGGTGCATGACTGTCTTCTCTCTTCTGTTAACTCCATGGTGCCCTCTCCTTTCTCTCCTCTCTCCCCCTCTCTTTGCATTGATGGTAGACCACTCCTCTCTCGCTCTCGCCGTCTTTCCTTCCCTTCCTCTCGCTCTCCATCGGTCGACTCCAGCCTCTGTCATCCGAGGACACCTGCTTCAGCACCTACTCTAGCCAGTCAGACAGTCAGTATGGCTCGCCACCGCGTGGTTGGTCGGAGGAGATGGACGAGCACGGCCACACGCTGTACGTCAGCGACTATACCAATGAGAAGGTACCGGCTGAACTGCGCTGCTCTGCTTTGTCTTTACTGTGGTGGTTTCTGGGAATGCATGTGGGAGCAGATTTTGGGTTGATTTATGGTAGATTTCCCCCTATTGCGCACAACTCAAATGTTTCCTCCACACATATTAGGCAGAGTCGTAACACCACAGCATGAGAATGATTACCACTACTAGAGAAATAATGAGAATATCAAACTGTTTCCTGCAGTGCCCCACAAGGCACTCAAAGCTATTTGCTCATTATCCAGGAACAGTTGTAATCACACTTGCAAGATCCAAAAAACGTATTTATTGTATAGATTTAAATAAAAGTAACATAATGAGCATTCATGTGAAATTGAAGTTACAGTATATTGCAAGGGTTCAGGAACATTTGATATCATGAAAAACACATGATATTAGGTTTGTCTGTTGGTCAGTAGGGTTGATATTATTACACAAATACTTAGTAAGTAATGTCAGGACTCACAATAATGAGTCTTGTGTTTCTCCTGTTGTCCATGTGTGCAACACCAGTGGTTGAAGCACGTGGATGAGCAGGGCAGACCGTATTACTACAGTGCAGATGGTTCAAGGTCAGAATGGGAGCTGCCAAAGGTAAGACTATACATACTCAGACTCAGAGAGAGTCACTCTGGTGAGTGCAGAATCAAGTAATTGTTTAGCATAAAAATGTGGCCCACAAGTTCCCCACAGCCGCTTCTTCTAGTTATTTCTTCTTTGTCTGACAATCCATCCAGAACTGATTTCAGTAGATGAGTTATAGGCACAGATTAATATTAATGGTGTTACGTGATTATGGCTTATAAAATGGATGTTCAGTTGTACCATCACGTTAACTTTTGGCAGAATCAGGCACACATATTTAGTTATAACTGAGGATGTAAACTTGTTATATCCAGGTGATAAGCCTTATGTGTATACATGTGCATTAAATTAATGCAACTAAAAGTATACCAGACAGCAAAAATAAATTCCTGCACACACCAGGATGGTAGGATTGGCACTGTTTTATTACATTGAAGAGAAAACATAAAGGAGCAAACTACACATTTCACATCTTGCTTCATTCGCTCTGTGCCATCAGGTGTGACTATGAATAATCAAATGCTGATTAGCAGGAAATCCTAACCCTAACACAATAGGCAAAAGCAAATATAATTTACGATTCAAGATTAAATATACATATTATATTACACAAGACAATGAGATACAATTCATATCAGAGTGTCAAACTGGCTATTTCATTAGTTTTATTTCGTTTGTAATGTAAAAAGTGTCAATCCTAGTATCATGGTGTGCGCTGGAATATATTTTTGTTGTTTGGTTTTATTTTGCTCTGCACCAGCTGGCACCCAGAAGGGAAGCACTGCTGTGACATTTTCTATTTATTTGTTTATTTTCTTTTAAGTATATTAATACAGTATGATTCCCTCCCTCCAGTACAACATCTCCCCTCCACAGCCATCTGGAGACGCACCAAAGAGTCGCAGTTTGGACAGGAAACACGTGGAGCCCATCGTCCTGACCAAGTGGAGACACAGCGCCTATGTCCCAGACCCCAACGACAAGGTTTGACACCCAAGTCTGAACACTACAGACTTAAAATAACCTCTGATCTTAAATACTTAATTTCACTGCCAGCAAAGAAAATCTCCAGTGAAAATGACCACTGAAAAGTACATTTTATAATCCATTTCTTTAACTCTTGTGCCAGTTGTGATTAATGATGTTACCTGTGTATGGACTTCAAAGCCTTCTGTACAGAATGAGTTTGTCCATATGGAGCTGTTATTGTGATGTGTTCACTGGTAAAATGTATTACACGAGTCCAGAGTTTCAGTTGTAGACTGGTTGCTTTACAGCGGCTGTTAAAAACCAGGCGTTTCCGCTCAGGCTCCGCCCGCATACACCCGTACAAACACCAAGTCAGTAGTCTGTCCGACCGACCAATCCGTGCCCTGTCTCAAGCAGACAATCAGCTTGCATGTTAAAAATCACACAACAGGAGTAATAATTACATTCCCATCTTCATGTCAAATTCACTTGGTTTTGCCTGATTCTGAGTTGATTGAACCCGTTGATTTGAATCATTCCACCAAGAAACTCAACATTCAATCATGAATTTGATGAACTTTTACATTTGAGGGTTTGGCCACAACAATACAGAAATAATCTGCCTTAAAAAAATGCTGTGATAAATACCTGCGTCCACATCTAATTAATAATCCGCTGGTGCCTCCTGGACCTCCCACAGGTACTCGACACACTTTGCAGCATTATAATCTCACCGCTAATTGCCACCGCACTCTTTCATCCGTCTGTGTCTTCTTAACCTCTCATCATTTTCTCATTAACCCTTTTTGTTGTTGTGACCGTTTGTTTTTTTCATCCCTGTCTCCTCACTAGGATGCTCCTCTGGGTCAAAAGCCCCCCTCTCCTGACTCTGACTCCTGCCCTTCGTCTCCCAAGCCCCCCACCTCTGTTAGTACTCACCCCTCACCTCACCTCCTCACCACCCACTAGGCTCAGCCCTGCGGGGGGGAGCTTTAAGGTGGTCCCTGGTTGTAGGCAGGGACATGTGTTTGAGCTTATTGCAGGGTTTCTACACAGGTGTGGAAATAAATAGAGAAGTCCCAGTATACAGTTACCTCTGTCATCTTACATTACTTTAGCCTGTGTAGAATCCCTGTTAATAAGCAGTGCTGATGGGTAACTGTGCCCAAGGAATTGACTTGGACTTGTTTAAAATGTTTGTTCCTGGGTGCGTTGATCATTTGTGTTGTACCAGAATTTCCCTGTGTGTCAGAATCTGAAGCAAAAGATCTCTATCTAACTGCTGCAGTAGTTTTGCCAAGAAATTCATGGTTTTACCTTTTAATCTGATGCCACTTGCGTGTGTTTAGTCACTTGCCTTTCTTGAGTAGGAATAATGGTAGTAGTCTGTTCCTTCCTCCAAGCTGAAAGCTGTAATTGTTCTGGTGGCGGGGTATTTGTGATGGTGGTGGTGTTTTACAATAGTAATAACAGTGACACAATATTCAGCAGCTTTCTCTCCTGTCATTCTGCTGTGGTTGTTGATCATAGTTTAAGTGATTGATGTGTGTGTAACCTGCTTCTTTAAGGCGTTTCATAATGCTTTCTTTCTCTCCAGCCGTCCGAAAAGTGCGGAGTTCTGAATGTGACAAAGATCACTGAACACGGCAAGAAAGTGAGGTGAGTAGCACTGAGTCTTTGGCCGTAACAAGACCAATGTTAATATTCTACAGTATTATTGAGCTAGTTTTAAAGGTACCCTGTGGAGAGTTTGACCTCTAGTGGCACTGTGGAGCAATGTTTTTATGATGTTTGTTTTTTTTTTTATATCTTGTGCACACATATAAGGACTCACATGCCTCAAGCAACACAATTCAGTCGTCCTAATTGTTTCACACTGTTCCACTGATCAACAGAAGAAGAGTGCAATATATATGTAACGTATTTTTTAGGCCTCAAGGAGACTTATGCATTTTGGTGAGAAACTGACTGTAAACATAACGTTTGTTTGTTTACAACAAAACTCCACAGGGTAACATCTATCTGTTTGGTTCTCTTTATACGTCCCCATTCACTTTCCAGTTGTAAGAATAATAATACAAAAAAGTTATTATAAAAATATTGTCCGATGATTGTGAAAAAATGTCTGTTTTAGTCTTTTCTGTCTGAATGAGGGTCGTTCTCGTACTGCTGAACAGGTTTGAGGTTGAGTTGAGGTTTGATTCTCAGCCCTAATGTGTTGTTTAGTAGTATTAGAAGGTCTCTGCAGATTTACTCTCAGTACTTAAGACTCTTTATGAATAATCTGTTGCAGGAAGAACTGGACTTCCTCCTGGACCGTACTCCAAGGATCCACGTTGTTATTTGCCAAAGGCCAAGGAGGCGGGACCAGCTGGGTTAGTGACACAAACCTTTAAGGTTGTTTCATATCAACAGCAAGATTCTGTCTAGATCAAATACACAGAAACAGTCACTCAAGTTCATTGATTAGAGGGTGAGAAGGAGTCTGTCATCTCTGTGTGATGCTGCTTTTTTTACATTAAAGGACCTCCAGTGTTTTTCAGTGGGTTTGTCAGGTCACTGGATGGGAGTTGGGGTTGACATTTCTCTCTTCTACATGTTTCCCTTTCCTTCTCTTTCCATGCCTCCGTCTCTTTACCTTTGGCTTCACCTTCCCCCCCCTACCTCATCTTCCTTGTCGTGATCCCCTCCATCCTCCCATGCAGCCATACTACCACAGTGGCTCCCTCCCTGAATTTCTCCTGTCACTGTTGAGTAACTGGAGGCCGTCTGCTAAGAAACGTCCTGCTGTCTCCTATGGCTGCTCTGGGCTCGACAGAGCCTCCTCTGTATGTGCTTCCTCCTTCCTTTTGTGTGCTTCTCTCTCTCCTCCTCTGCATGCCACCTCCCTCCTGTCTGTCATGCTCTGACCCCAACCCCTCTGTGTGTTATTCCTGGCATGGGGCAAGAACAATATTACTCTTTATTTGCTAAATCATTTTACTCTGTGGCTTGACTTGACTTTCAATGGCCATATTTATTGTGCATTATAAGCAATAAGGTAATGTTTTGCCTCAAAAGGTAGGATGGAGTTCATGAACCACTAAGTTTAATGTGTTGTTTTTTGAGTAATTGTGAAGTTCAGGCGTTCATCAGTTGTAGATCATCACATGGAGGTCTGTAGGGATGTCATGCTTTCTGATTACATGAATAGAGCATGACACACAGGCAGGATAACTCGGCTTTTAGTTGCATGTGTGCAAGCTGAAACTCACAAGACACCTGTGCTCAAACAAAACTAAAGTTCAGTGAGCTCTCAAGGTAAAAGAAATCGTAATAAAGTTTGATTGTGTCATTGGGTCAGTTTTCCTAAATCTCAACCAAGCTTGCATTAAGAGAGGAAGATTTCCCATTACTTAATAGAAACCTTTTACATTAATTCAGAATTAATTGTTTATATGTATATGAAACATATGCATGTATTTTGTTTATAGTTTAGGAAATTAATTTGTGTCTGTGGCAATTGTCAGACAAATACAACAATAAAAGACAATACAGTTAAGGACGGACATCAAACCGCATACAACACATCAGACATCAAAAGTCAAGTACAAGAAAATGTAAATGACACAACTATCATATCACAATGATTTGTTTAACAGAGCTGTACTGGAAGATGTAGCTCAAATTTTAGTCAGAAGTTAAAAACGTTGCACCGCAGTTAATCAGAAAGTTAATCTGTAGGTGTCCTTATTATCGAAGTAGCACATTTTCTTCTCATTTACACAAACTGTTGCATGGTTTACTGCTGATGACATCCATGAAGGCTCTCTGTGTGTTAATTTACCCTCCTTTGATTCATTTCCTGTCTCTGTCCAGTTTGGAGGCGGTCAGTCCAAACCAGAGTTCACCGTGGATCTGAGGGGCGGCTCGGTGGATTGGGCTTCCAAGGACAAGTCCAGCAAGAAACACGTTATAGAGGTAGGTGCCCTTCCTCGATCTCTTCCTCGTCTTGAATGCACTGAAAACTCTCAAATACAAACAAAACGTCCTTCAGGTGTACTTTCAGACATATTACCTCACTGGTACTTTGTGTCCTTCTCCTGGTTGCAGGTGAAGACTCGACAGGGCACGGAGCTGCTGATCCAGTCAGAAAACGACGTCCTGATCAATGACTGGTACCGAGCGCTGCAGGACACCATCAGCACCCATGTGAGGACCAACACCTTCACACAGTCCCAAAATGATGCGTCTCTGCCAGGGTTGCCAGATTGGACTGACCAAAAGTTGCCCAATCAGAGGCTAAAGCCTAGAAGCTGTCCTGTCGTCATAAAAGTGTACCAGTTTTTAGGAAGAGTGGATTTCTGTCACAGCTAACTTATGACTGTTGGCATATTCACTTTTTGATTAAAACACATATTTTAAGTTGGATGTCCTTGAACTCTCCAACTGAACACTAGCAGCTTAGTTTAACCACTGGGGGAAACTGAGAAGATGAACCTTGGTATATTAAGTCCAGTTTGCTCTACAAATATTATTTTTTGCCAGTTAATGAAGAGGAAACGTTGGATAGCTAATCAGTGGCACCTTACTACTTATCTAGTTTGTTGTTTTGCTGCCCTGAGAGTCCAAAGGTGCAGCAGGCTTTACACCCAGTATCTTATTTCCATGTGTGTTTGTGTGTGTCTTAGGCCTGGGAGTCTGATGAGGCCATTGAAGAGGACATGCCGGAGTCGCCTGGTGCAGAGAAACACGACAAAGAGAAAGAGCACAGAGACTCAAAGAAAGGCAGAGGTCGGTGTGGTGTTTAATAATGTTAAACAAATTTAAAAATGCACAGTACTTCAGTGTAAAACCGATAATAAATCACCATCAAGTAAAATATTTAAGAGTTGAATTCGTTGGAAAAAAAATCATATATGATAGCAGGAAAAATGAACAGGGTGGACTGAAAATGAAAGTTTAAAGTACAAAGTTTGTGTTTGGCTCAGTGCCCTACTCGCCCCTATAAAACAACTGCTTCTCAGTTTCATTCCCTCAAAACATCGAGCAGCCGTCATGCCGAACAGTGTGTTGAGACGAGTGGTGGACAACACTATCTTCTCCCATCTCTCCTTCGCAGCCATGAAGACCTCCACCAGCATGGACGGCTCCGACAACAAGAAGACCAGACACAAGCTGAAGAAGTTCCTGACCCGCCGCCCGACCCTGCAGTCCGTCAGAGACAAAGGATACATCAAAGGTACCAGAGAGCAACGAGTTCCACTTACAAACACAAACTTTTGGCGTATTTGTGCACATTGTGAAACAGACCCTGGGATACTATGGAATTCAAAAAGGTATCGCTGGCAGTAGAGTAAATATCGAGTTAATTGTATAAAGAATTACAGTATTTTAGGTTGATACGGTACATTTGTGGTGTTAGCTGTTTGTTTTTGCTGTTTTTAACCTCCAGAAAGGTCAATTATAGAGGAAACAGACTGGTTTTATTTCTTTACATACATCCATTTGCTCTAACCTTAACAATATCCTATTTTTATTTAATGTGTCCTCCAACAAGCCAGTTTACCCACAGGAATCAGGAAAGTTTTATAGTACTGTAATTATTAGCCGGGAAAAGTTTTATAATTATAGTCATTTATACATTTGTTGCCTGAAGTTTGTCGCCTACGTGACATTAAAGAGCCCACAGACAGAAAACCTTGCTTTTCTTTATCTGTAATAGAAAGTAATAAGGCACAGGGAGGTTTTGCAGGACGCTGTTAAGATCTGAGTGTCGATAAAAAGACATACTGCAACAAAACAAGGACTTTGGACTGTTTTGTGACTGTGGTTTTCTTCTTCCTTTCTGTGTGTTCAGATCAGGTGTTCGGCTGCAGTCTGTCCAGTTTGTGTCACAGGGAGAACACCACGGTGCCGATTTTCGTCAGGATGTGCATCGACCACGTGGAGAACGACGGTGGGTTCAGAATCAGATGTGTGTCACTTTACCTGACCTGAGTTTGAAGGAAATGATACTAGCTGGGGTTTTACTGCCTCATGATAACATAAAGTAATGGAAGGTAGGGTGTGCCTGACCAACAGTATACTATCTTGTTTTGGTTCATTCAAGTCTTCTGATGCTCAAAGCAAATTAACAAACCACAAGAATAACTGTAGATGCAGATATTACTGAGCTGATGTCAATGTTTTCCTCCCGTTATCCCCTGCAGGTCTGTGTATAGACGGGCTGTACAGGGTTAGTGGGAACCTGGCTGTCATACAAAAACTTCGCTTTGCTGTCAATCACGGTAAGTCACCGCTTTCTGAAACTGCCGCTGGTTATTTAGAAGTATTCTAACTTGAATTCTGTCAGTTTCTTCTGATACGCTGTTATAAGCGTCTGTTGACGACACTGACTGAGGGGTTTCTGTGTGTGTCCAGATGAGAAGGTGAACCTGGCAGACGGGAAGTGGGAGGACATCCATGTGACCACTGGAGCTTTAAAGATGTACTTCAGGGAGCTGCCGGAGCCTCTCTTCACCTACGCTTTCTTCCATGACTTTGTCAGCGGCATCAGTACGTGTTACATACAGCTGTTCCACAGATATCTGGATTCATTCATGCGTTAACTCAGAGTCTGAAGCGAATGTACTGTCTTTGTTTCACAAGCAAGATCGGCCCTGGAAATGTACTGCTACAAAACCCCAAACCATCATTCTGTCAGAATTGGATGTCTCATTGATGTCGGCCTCAGATTTTTGTCACTGATTTTGTGCTCACTCCCAAGAATTTAAACTGAATGCGAACTAACTCTACGATAGCTGTGATTGTTCTCTCTGACTTTGATACGTGTTGTGTTTTCCGCTCTGCAGAGATTCCAGACTACAAGCATCGAGTTCAGTCCATCAAAGACCTGGTCAGACAGCTGCCGAAGCCCAACCACGACACCATGCAGGCTCTCTTCAAACACCTCAGGAAGTAAGGAAAACACTGTTTTTTTTTTTATTGATTTCTTTTTTCTCCCCAGAGTGGAAACCAGAAGAATTTTAATAGAAAATCTCAAGAAGGAGATACGATTCTCTACACATGCAAACAATATATATCACATACAGAGACTGACAGATTATTTTGGTTGTTGATGAATCTGTGAGTTTTCTTTTCAATAACCAGATTGTTCTGTCTACAATATGTCAGGAAATAGTGAAAAATGCCAATCAAATTTACCAGAAAAGTCTACAAATGACTTCAATTTACAATCATATAAATGAAGAAAAGTAACACATTCTGACTCTGGAAGCAGGAACCACTGAAGTTTTGGCCCTTTACCTAATAAATCACATTTAAACAACTAATAGAACATCAGAATTGTTGTTTTCTGATGACAAATAAGTTAATTAACTAATCATATGACCACATACATACATTTCTAGTGACGTTTAACCAGCCTTGCAGCGGACAAACACTGAAAAGGAAGGTCATAAGCACATAAATTGAGGGTCATCCACTGTATGCTGTTTACATAATACCAAGTTTGTCTCACTCAATGACAATGAGCACTGGTTTTTGAATGTCCTCCAAATCTTTTTTAAAAGCTGCATGTTTTAATGAAAATATTTAATTGAACTGCGATTCTACTGCATTATGGGGAAGGTTGCCAAAGACTATTTCTGTGAGAAATAATGTTTCAATGTTAAAAATTGTTCTTTTCAGCCTTTAGAGTTTTAATATTTGTCCTGTTCCTCCAGGGTGATCGACCACGGTGAGGAAAACCGTATGACCACCCAGAGCGTGGCCATCGTGTTCGGCCCAACGCTGCTGCGACCTGAAACAGAGACCTGGAACATGGCGGTCCACATGGTCTACCAGAACCAGATAGTGGAGCTAATACTGCTGGAGTACGAGAACATTTTCGGCAGGTAGAAAGAGACGCCGGAGGATGAGGCCTCTTTGTTTTTGTTCTCTCCCGACGCAGAGCTCTTCCTATCCCAGCATGGCCCTGCCAAAAACAGCCCGGCCCCGGCTTGGTTCAGCCTGGCCCAGCGCGGCCCGGGGGCAGCTTCTCTTCATCTCAAACCAACCTGCGGTCACTGGCTTCTCCAATCTCGCAACCTCCGGACCAAAAGCCACGCAAATATGAACCAAAACATAGATGTAACGAAACTAGCGACCAAAAAAGTTTTAGACTCTTTGCACTTTTCAGTATCTCATTTTCTTCTGCAGCTGCGTTTGTGCCACTTTACTGCAAAGGTGACGCCCTCCTGTCCCGACACTGGATTCCTAAAACTAATACATGGGCCAAACAAGCCTCTAAACACTGCACAGACTGACTGAGAGCCTCAGTAGCCTCGATCACAGAGGAGGCGTTAGTATTGGAGGTTGGAAGCGGAGGTGCAACCATGTATGTACTGTACTGTATATTCTATGATCTGTATAGACCGCGCTGGGGAACCGACAGAAGAAACCAAACTGCTTGGCTTTAGACGTTTAGACACTAAGAGGAGAAAGAGAGTTAGAACAAGGAGAAGAAGGGACGATATAGAGGTCTTTCATTTAGGAGCTATATGTCGTTAAAGAACAATTTCTGCCCTTTCCGTGTTGTTCTATCTTTCACTTTATTTTAAATGTTTTGTTCCTCTTCTACCTCTTTCTATCTCTCTCTTAGTTAGGGCTTGTGTCCACATAGTGGTTTTTTTTTTACAAGTGCGTATGAGGCAGCGTGGGGCCGCCTAGAGGAAAAAGCGCTTCCAGAGAGAAAGAAAGAAAACTTCACCGATTACTGATATATCGGCCGTTACGGTGAATTTTTTAGCTGAAATGAAAATGGTCTGATATTGCATCGATATGACTCTGCAAAGATACTCTGAACGCTGCTTTCTCAAACAAATAACTTTCAAAATATTCTTTAACATATAGACTGCACTGAACCAATGAACACTGGGAAGGTAAAGAATAAATAAAAATATAATACATTTTATTTTTTTATTTGCATTATAAACAATAAAAAAATCTGTTTTCATATCAGTGCATATTGGATGACATACACACTATCAGTATACGGTACCAAGATGTCTGCGATAGGCAAACTCTGCTGAGAGTTCTCTACTATGTTTTGCTGTCATTTAGCTTTTCACTACTGCTTGTTAAACCCTGGGCCGGGCTATCACACACACACACACACACACACACACACACACACACACACACACACACACACACACAGCAGACGGTGAACCGGATGAAGTGAGGAGAGTTAATGACAACTTGAGTAAAACGTAGAAAAAGAAGAAAAGCGATATTTGTCCACAGTTGTTGCTTTGCACGACCGCAGAACGTTTGTTAAGCTAATAGCGAATTGTTCGAAATCGCCTTGATATTGACATAAAAACAAAAAGCGCCTCATCCTTTCTCTCCCCAGCCCTGCCAGCATTTAAATAAACGCTATATACACACAAGCCCTGAATCTATTTCTCCTTCTTTTTTTTTACCTTTCTGAAATCCTGGACTGGGGTCCTCTGAACACATAAGAGGTTATTATCACGCTGTAATATATACATATATATCTGCACGCCACCTTTCTCCATTTGGCTTTACGAACAAATCATCTAGCAGCAGTCAGAACATGAACTTACAAAAAAACAAACATCGGTACTCAGCTGTGTCTTTCCTCGACTCATGGATATGAAATGTTCAGGCAAACAGCCTTTTAACATGACTCCATTGATACATCTGTACAGTGTTTATGTGTGTGCATGCGTATGTGGGGAGGGGGTGGACGGATGAATGGATTTAATGACATTATATTGTACAAATAGTAAATATAAGTACGTATGCCTTGAGTGTTAAACATGTGGGAGAAATCACTATTTTGTGATCATTGTGTAACCAACAGCTGGGAGGAATAAAGCTATGGACTGGGGATGTGGAGGTTTACCTGTGTGTCAGGTAAATGGAAGATTGTGAATGTAACTTTGGAGAGAAACTGTTGGCTGTATCAAACTGGAATAAAGACCTCTAATGAGAGATATTCCAAAGGAGACGTTGTTTATGTTGTTTTTAGACTTACTCGTACATTTAGTGTCCACTTACAGCTACAGTAGCTCCATGTAGCTCAGTGTGAAGGTCGAAGTTAGAGGTTTGATCACACTCAGGGAAACTTTCTGCAACTATTTCCCGGAGTAAACTTGTAAAAGGCCACAGTAATTAAAAACCCCAGAAAGGATAGAGCTAATTTAGAGAAAAGTTCTTCAAGTAAGTCTGAGACACCAAGTTAAACTTACTGAATACATGAAAGCGTATGAGAATTTTAATATGCAAACCCAAAACTTAAGTAAAAATGAGTCAGAACTTTGACTTTTTAAGATGACTTTCTATTGCCATTGATTTAGACAGATACATTTTTGATTTGCTTTCATTAATTAGCCTTGGTAGCTCATTATAGACATACTAACTCCTAATTTTGACTTGTAAGGTAAAGTTCTTTGTATTATATTGGCTTTAAATTTGATAAATTCACACTATAATTTTGTACATTATAATTTCTACCCAGAATTTTGATGTTCTAAGACATTTCTTTTATTTTCAGAAGTACTAACATTTTCCCAACCCTGTCAGGAATACACAGCACATGCCCTAGAAACTATTTGAGTGATATATATATATATATATATATATATATATATATATGTATATATATATATATATATAGCGATAGTGATATATTGAGTGACGTGTGGCCAAATAGAGCGTTTTACCGGGAGACATTTTACCTCAACAGGAAAACAACAGGTGTAATTGATAACATTAACGATGGCTCTGCTCCATTTTAAGTCAGCGTAGAGCCGTGTGAGTGAGCCAGCGTGCTCAACGTGGGCCCTGGAACTGCCACCTAACTGGAATCCAACCTTAATTAAGGTTATTAAATACACCTGCTAATGAGCCACAGGATAAAGAGGCCTGGAGGAGGGGGAGCCTTAAAGCTGGCACAAAACCAAACCTCTGAGAGAATGATGAACTGTCGCTCCTCACCCCTTGAAGGGGAGGAAGATGAGTCTCCCTCTCTTGTGGGAGCAGTGGGTGTGTGTTGTGGCTGGATTTTGGCCGTAAAGATGCAGAGGAGGAGAAGGTATTGTGTTCTTTTAAGTACAGTACAAATACTCTGTTATAAGTAAATATCCTGCATTCAAACTTAAGTAAAAGTACAAACGCATTAGCATCTAAATATACTTATATTATACAGTATCAAAGGCAAACATACTCATTATACAGAATGACCCATTTCACAATCATATCACTATAATTAGTGATGCATTCATGTGGACATCACTTAAATATTACTGCTGGTCCAGGTGGGACTAATTTTTGGTTACTTTACAAACTGCTGGGTAGTTTAACCTATAATGATAATAATAATAATAATAAAGCTTTATTTATTAGTTGATTCATATTATTGCACCAATATTCTGAATCTGATAAAGGCACTAAAGCTGTAAAATAGATGAAGTGGAGTAAAAGTAGCAGAAATAGAAGCATGCAATGAAAATACAAGTGCCTTAAAATTGCACAGTGCTTGAGTAACACATTAATGATAAGAGAATAGGAGACTGTGTGTTCAGTGAGCTGTAATAAATGGAGAATAAAAGATCAGCAGTAGCTTTATTATTTCAAATTAATATTTATTTGACTGAGGAAACGTTTTTAATGAACTTACAGGACAAAGACACCAAAAAAAACCAATATTTAATCAATTAAATATTAAATTTAACATTCTTAGGAGGATTTACAAACACATAACTGACCCACTCATTATTTCTTATAATGGTATCAGGTGAAGGTTATTTTGTGAGCAATGAAAAAAAAAAAAACAGAATAAATTACAGAGACTGTCTATTTTCCTCTGGTATTATATAGTATACTAATAATTAAGCTAGCCATATTATGGTTAATATAACTGTTTATTAGTTGACCTATTTCACCACATTTAGGTAAAATGTCGGTATTTGGGATATCATGAGTGTACATAAGTTAAGATAAGATAAGTTTCTATTGACATTTTTATACATTTCAGGCCAGTCCTTTGGATTATCTGTTATCTGGTTATTACAGTACTGTCTTCCTTCAATAAGCAAACCACAAACCTTTCACACATGTCCACCCTGTAGGAGTATTTGATTACATTTAACCAACTTTATAAGTTTAAGCTTTGAAAACTTTTTTTTTTTAACTATTCGCTACTAACAAAAGAATTTCTGCATCCATTTTTTCCCCAGAAGTTAATTCTCTCTGTAGGACCAATATAAAAAAAGTTAACACTAATAAAAACCACAATGATGATCAGTTTCTCAAGGCAACATGTTTTACTCAACTTCATAACCGCTAACTCAAAACTATGAGATAAGTAATAAGTCTTATTACCAGCATAAGTCATTTAGTTGTGTCTCCAAAGTTAACTAGCTGTGTTGGTGTTTTTGCTCCTTTTGGTATTTGGAACATACAGATAGAAAACAGAGAAGCTGATTTTTCTGTGAACATTTTGTCTAAAAAATCTATTTCCATCCAAAACGAAAAAAATCCTCAGATTTATCAGGGTTGTGGTTTTTTTCTTTCCATCTTAAATCTCAATCTTCATCTTTCTATCCTCAGTATTTGTATCCTATTGCAGATCAGTTCATTCAGACATGGTTTTCTCTGTCTGAAGCCCAAAAAAGTTAATTCTAGTTATCAGTTAAAGCTAAAACTTGTCTCCTTCACAATGAGAATAATTTCCAACATTTACATTTTAAACTGAATGCAAAAGATGAAAAACAAGGGGAATAATGAGAGACAAGACAAATGAGAATTAACAGCTGAGCAAAGATGTGTAAAATGATTGTTTTCTAAAATGTAAATTACTATAAGAGTGTATAATGTGACTAAATTAAGTGACGCTTATAGACCAAACTGAGGTCTGGGGACCAACAGGGGTCCTAGAATGGGTTGTATGAAGACTTTATTATCTTCCAAAATATAAAAATGACTCAGTACATCTACTGGTCTCATTGGACTGTATGGCCCTAAAATACCGACAGGAAGCAAACAGTTAAACGTTTTTTAAGTTAAGCTTTATATAAAAAGATTATATTACACATTTCAAAGCGTGATTACAATCAGAAATGACATTAACGCGAAGCACAAAGTCACATTTTGCCATGCAGATGCCCACAAAGGCAGAAGGATTGTGGCACATTGATTCAGATGAGATCTTTGATGTCTGGTCTGGGCTAAACCTTGATAATGGATTCTTTTATCAGAGATTTCCTGGTGTGAGAAGGGAAATACAAAGCGTTCAGCAGGGGGCAAAGGTTTTCATTTATTCTGCTGTGGAAATATCTCCCATTTTTGGAGAACTTTTGAGCTTTTTGACTTTACTACCTGCTGTTTCCTGGCCTCTGATTTCACATCTGATTGCTCCGGTGCTTCAGATGCACAGAAGAAGAAAAAAAAAAAAAGCACATCACATATATTAGCTACCTACCTAAGCATTCACTCTCCAGCGTATACTTTTGAATATCCCTTCACAGAACATGCTGATTAGTTTTATAAGTTCAAACCTCTAAAACAACAGAAGCCCCGAGGAGAAGTTATCTGCTACAAGTCAAAGCTTCTTCACTGTACAACCGCAGTCACACCTCTCATCACGGGGGGGAAGCAGGCGTGTGTGAAATAACATGTAGAGATAAGACAGATCTTTCCTGTCTCTACATGTTATTTCATGTCTCCATGTCATTTTTTTTGTGCTTGGATCTGTCACACATCTGTGCAGCTCTGAAGGTGTGATGTGTTACTGATATGACATGACATGCAGGCTCTTACAGATGTCTAGTTCAGAAGCTCAGGAAGCTTTTCACGTGAGGAACCAGATCAACATTTGATAAGATATTCGCCTCAGAAAACACAGACTGAGTAGACCTTTGTTGTTAGATGCTACTTTACAGGCAGCAGGGATGGTCAACAAAGTAGTCTGTGTACAGGTTGTCAAAGATTTGTATCACAGTATTTTTAAGGTTATACGATTCTGGCGGTTTCACATTATGTCAAATTTTTTTGTTTGTTTGTTTGCATGACTGGGCCTTTTATGTAGGTTTATAGTGGCTTATTTTGCGTCAGGAGTACATTAAATGCCATCATCGAGGCTTTGATTACTACAGAGCAGGGTTGGGACACCACTACTTCTTTAGCCCTTCTCCAGTGGCTCCTATTCATTTTCATTGATCATTGTTGTAGACCTAAAGTGATTGTCCAATTGTAAAACTGTGGAGCCATTACACACCATATAAAAAGCTGTTTTAACATTTTGTCAATTAAAATAATAATAATCCGTCACTTCTTTGATTCTAAATCCAAAAACAGAGAAAGTCTCGGAAGAAAATAGAAAATGTATTAGTGAGTGAACAGATTTCTTTCACCACCAACGCTGCAGGCTTACCGGTTTGCTTGGTGGTCTTTTAACAGTAAAGGTTGCAGAGCCCAGTTATAGGGTTTTCTTGGCCCTACAAAATAATACAATATATATAAAGAAATCAGAATGTAAACAAATGTTTTATTGTGCAAACTGCAACGTAGTGAAACATTTCCAAGTAGTTTTATAAACACTATAACTGACTGATACTCAAAGTATTTAAGTACTCAAAGAGATATTTCACAGATGTCCTCTTGCCCAACTACATAACAAAGTACCAGCCATGTGCCATGCTGTTTTTCCCTGTTAAAGAGAGCTAGATGTGGGTTATTAATTGTTCCGTTATGAAGTTATAACTAGTAATAAGGGTATGCCGTTAATAAGGTTTCCCTCTCAATACATGCTATACAGCTTCCCCCGACTGTAGCACTTTTCATGGCAAAAACAATGTTGCTGCCCATTGGAGAGTTGCAGCAGTTGTTTCAGCTATGCACAGGTATGACAGTATATAAAGGATTCATCCTATGGGAAATTAAACTGGGTGTACCAGTCTGTTAGCATGCTAACCACTAGGGGTAAAAATAGGTTCCAACAGCCCAT